GGTCCTGTCTTGTCTGGATAGATACTTGCACTAACACCTCTTCTCGGGGGTCACACGGACAGGGTTGGTTGTGCGCATGGATTAGTTGTTTTGCTGTTTACACGGTTGACTTGGTTTCTTCTTTCTCACCGATGATATTGAAGTGTGTATGGCAGATTTGAAATTTCCCTTATCCTGAATTGATGTAATCTCTTTAGCCAGTGAGTTCCAGTCCACTAATGTGTGGTCAGAGTATGGGCCGGACTTTTGAACCCCCCCCCCGATCCGCGCCCGTATGCAGGTATTCACTGTAGTGGCTCGTGTGTACTGAGCCATACTTCAGCTGATACATACAATTTCACAACTATGTTATTAGCAGGATAATCAAGTTTCTCATCGTAGCAACTATATCTTATTTTCATAAAGGTCAACTTTCAGGGTTTTTTTTTTTTTTTTTTTTTTTAACCTTTTGAGTATCATTCGTGAAACTGATAGCTTTGGGATTATTTTGTTTTGGTGTATGGATATCTACATAAGGATCTCAGACGCAAAATTTAACTACTTATGATCCCTTTTACAAAGTCTTGGCATCCTGTCTGGCGTTTATTGTTGGTTGTCTTCAGCAGCGTTTCTAGCTTTCTATAATTATGCCAGGAGGACAAATTTAAGACAGTACTGTGTCGACGTCTTAACAGTCTTAAAATCGTCTTACAAATAGTGTTGTTTTTGTTATGTTTTATGACGCCATTAAAATGCCGCCAAGGGGGCAAGTTGCAATACCTCCCCCCCCCCTCTCCCCCAGGATACGCCACTGGTTGTCTACTTTGTGACAAACAAATATCAAAACTTCTCTCCACAAATTCAAAAGTGATTTTGTTCAATGATTCAGACTTTTCATCACACGAAGAGCAGTGTCTTTTTTTTTATAGCAATTCATTATTACCGACACACGCTTCAATTGTCATGCATTTGCACTTTACAGAGTGTCGATTACAATTATCGGTGAAGAATGAAAACACAAGTATCAACTGACACTAAACTGAAAGAAAAACAAGTCAACAACTGCATTTACCTTTTTTTTTTTTTTACAAGCATCATGATACAGATACGCCGCACCATCGTATACCTATCTGCAACCGGTGTCATATGAAATTTGGACTCTTATGCAATTTGGTGTCTTATCCCTCACGCGCGTGACTAATTTTCAATTGTCGGAATTCTGGCCATCAACGAATGCGCAAAGCAAATTATTCCGTATTTCATACAGTCCAATTTCACACTGTTATTGTAACAGCATTCCAACCAGTGCTCGTCCATCCACCCACGGCCATTCACACCTGATGGTATCGCATCATCGGGGCTCATCCGTTTCCTGCCTTGCATTGTCTCACGTAGTCTGAGAGGGTCCGATATACCGACATCCGCTAGGTTTCTGTATCCGGCCTGGTCAGCCTGAAACACGCCAAGGAGGTACAGCCCAATTTGTTTATTTAAATTCCAGGTTCAAAAAATAACAAATTGTAGGCGTACTGGGTGATTTTTTTTTAAAAGATAATGCGAACTGAACTTGTATTTATTTTGGCAGGACACACAGTTCCTTATACCCGTCTCAGAGGGCACGTCAACATGCAGTTGACAGACGTTAACAGATTATATTGTAGGAAGCAAAGACAACATCCGCCCTTTTCAAGGGTGTTGGAGACCTCTAATTTCTTTGACCTCTCATCTGCTGCGTTAATTGTTTAATATAGGTTTGCCCGGCCAATCTCCGAATCTTTCTGATCATTTTCATCAAATTTCGCATGATTTTTTACACATCTGATAAAATTGGGGTTTCTCTCTCATTATTGGGGCATTCAATTTCAATTTCTAGGCATCCAAGATTGTGTTCCTTATGTTCGTTTTCGTTTTCGTTTCGGGGTATTCTATTTAGTTTTGGTTCACTCAACACTTGATTTGTAGCATTCGTACATTAAGTTTTTGACATCTTTTGACTGTTGACGCATTCAAATTAGCGAACATCGCTGGGCATAATTATGACGTACGACCACGTTTTTCCTTTCTTATTCGTTTATGGGAAGTAATTTTCATCGTTTGGTCATTCAAATTAATCAGATTTATTCATTGATATTTTACGTATTTTCTTCTGAGGTTCTTTTTTTTCTTCAAAATCTTTGTGTCTGTAAAAAGTATAATATAACAAATTTAACTGATATGCGGGATGATGTAACGAAGTAATGAAATGACAAGGGCTAAGGAATGTTCACTATTGATCGTCGTATTTAAAAGTTTGAACAATTCTTTTAACTTTGTTTACTGTTCTTTTTCGTTCCGATTTGTTTATTTTTTATTTATCGCTGATTCACAATTGACGGGCAAGACACAGTGGCGTAATCAGGGGTTGGGGGTCAGAGTGGCAGATTGCAACGGGCTAGTTTTTAAAGCGTAATCGGGACGCTGATAGGAGCAAAATCGGGATAGTGAAATCGGCTTGTCGGAAAAATCGTACGTCCGTTGGGAAATTTGTAGGGATGAGAGCAAAAATGCCCATGATTGTTTGCGTTAAACAGTGCCCCTATCAGAATATGGTGCGAACAAGCCCCTGGACTTTTAATACGGACATGCAAATGAGAATGTCTTCAATTATCATGCTTCGACAAACGTGAAATTTGTTGCCCATTAAATGAAAATCAATGCCCGATCAACCCCTTTATGCTTGTCAGACAAATTTGAATGTATCTTTTACAGGGACGAGTGAAGCTAAAAGAAATAGTATGCTCGGATGATGATACGTTTTTGATTGTTGGATGACGATTTTCAAATTTCAATCTAAAGTGAATGAGTCAGGCGTTAAATTGAATGAAAACTTGGTCAGAAATTGGCCTGGAAAACCTGTAATTGACCCAGGGTCAACAATGGCTGAAGCGCACGGAATGTACGTGCATTTATCATGTTGGTGACTAATAGAAATAGTACCCACGATGGTTTTCGAATTATGACGTCATGAACAATGACGTCATTATTAATGATGTCTTTTTTGGTGTACTGAAACCCTTGCTAAAAAAAAGCTTTAGCCTTATTAGCGGGAAGCGTATTTATTGTTTATTTTTTGGAACATCATGTACATCGTATTTTAACCGATCACATCACGCACCCTAAATATTTATCACGCTGTGTGGATGGAAGACACTATTAGGTTCTCGTAGTGTTTTCCCTTCATTTAAACCTATCCCAACCAACAAAAACATTTGATGAAAATGGATGTAGGTTCGAACCACATATCTTACAATCCATAGTTCATTCCACCATGGAGGAATTATTCCTCCATGATTCCACTATCCACTATAGGCCACTGTGGCAGCTCAACGAAAGCCGTTCTTTGAAATGCTTTATGGCACATGCATGACTGAGTGATAGCAATGATGTGACGTCATTGTTATTTTCTTATGAATAAACATCGAGCAATTACAGCTGAATAATCAAGATCCATTGACGATGTGTGCTGCAGATAAAAACACCGCAAGCGGGAATTGCAAGTTTGTTTGAAGAACAAGACAAACCCAAAATTGGGGTACGGAAGTGTTTCCCCCTGCAAAACGCGGCAGCGTTCTCCGTGAGGTCCAAAAGCATAAAATCACCTCCACATCCGAGACTTATCCATTCAAACTTTCAAAAACTCTCTGACCCAATTGTTTTCCCAATTTCCATCGTAAGTTGTACACTCCTAGGTTTTGGGTCTCTTTTTATTTCCTTCTGCTTGATCTTGTTAAAAGAGCTTACAAGTACTCTCTAAATTCCAAAGAGTAAAATTAGGGACTAGACGTTTTAGAGTGAAAATCACTCTCATTTTCGATTGAAATAGTCTGAAAAATGAACCACTTCAGTCGAAGCTCGAGTGAAAACTCGATCTTTACGATTAAAGAAATTTCACTCTTAAACGTCCAGTCCCTAGTTTCCGACTGTGTGAGTGAATCTTCACTCGAATGGAGTGAATTTTCACTCTTTGGAATTTAGAGAGTACTCTTCTTCTTTCGTATGAACTCTGGACCAAGGTGAACATCAGAGTTAGATACTTTAATTTGGTTCCTTCAAGCCATTTGATGGTGTCCTCGTCGAGGTCCATGAGTCCCTACCCGCCTCAAGTTGTGGTGGTCTGTAGTCCGGGCAGTCATGAACGATGTGGTTGATGGCTTGTGGCTTGTGGTAGGCCCTACCCTATCAAATGAGAAATGGACGGCATACCTCGGTGTCCCCTCAAATTTGGCCAATTAATGTCTTTTCTTATTTAAAGAAATCTAAATAAATACGAAAACCAATGTCATTTGTGCAAACTTAATATTCCAAATTTGTTTTTGAGAAAATTCCCTATCTATATTTTAAAAAAAAATGTTATGAATATTCAACGATCAAACTGTCTCTTCATTACGGAGCGAGTTGAACCTCATTCAGCATTTGCTAAGGGTGTGCTTCGCTGGAATTTTTTCCCCCTTTTGAAACTTATCATAAATTGAAAGAATTTTTTCTATCTAAACCAAAAGACAGAAAAAAAAGGTGCGTGTATAATTTTACTCAATGCAAGCATGGCCAACAAAATAAAATAAGAAAGACTTTTTAATTACTCCCATGAACTTCAACTATATATTTTTTTTCATTCAGTTACAACTTGAAAAGTGTCAACTCATGCCCACCACCACGGAGGAACAAAATCATGGCGTCCGATACATGACCTCTATTGTCTTGGACGATGATACAAGACTTTTCAAATCCACGGAGTGATCTTTCGTGCGTCTGCGGTAACACACTTCCACACTTTCATTTTCTTTTTACCAAGTCATCATTAACGAATCCTTGGGCCGCCGTAACTCCCCCACAATGCCTTCACTGGGCATACAATTCATCACACTTCCTAGCTTTCTCAAACCGCAGCTTTTCGAAAGTATATTGGTGGGTCGATATTTTGCAGCGTCATGACGTGGGTGATTGTCCCAAATCACCGTCCATATATGGACAGGTACGGGTCGGTTATCACTGTCACAGTCACACTTCTTAAGTTAATGCATGTACCTGAACTCTGAAAGCGGATAATGAATACCAACGGAACAAAACAGCGTCAATTCATACCAGGCATGCACCCAAAGACCGGTAGCCGATTACGCAAGTCTATGTGGTTCCTTTGTGATAGAGAGATACCAATGTTCGTCACAAGACCTGTGACCGCGTACGTCATAGGAAACGCGCTGGGTTATATAAAGGGAGGCCCGGGAGCCCAGTCTACCAACTTGCTCGATCGACAATCTCATCAACCGTTCTTGGCACGAAACACCACTCGAGAGGAGAAAACAGACAGACTGCAAACATGATCGTGACGATGAAGATGATACTGCCGCTGCTGATGGGAGCGTGCTTGGCTGCAGCTTTGCCGGTAAGTTTGTATAATTCAAGGCGCGCCTTAACGGCTCATTATTATGGTTCTGAAGCCTTTTTCCTGAGAATTTACCTCCTGCTTGTCAATAAGGAGGACTCTGGCATATTGAACTAGTGGATTGAATTGAACGATTATGGCAAAATTTGATACATATTTTAATCAGATTTACTTTTTTTTTTAATTATGCAAAATATTGAACAAAAAACTTCCAAACAAATACCCAATTAAAATCTAAACAATTCTCCCAAAGTTTCCAATAAAGTAGGAGGCCATGAAAACATGGCCTAAATTACCCCGAATGTAACTTAAATATCATTTTCCCATCTGTTTAACTCAATACTTGGTGACGGGGTTCATGCAGATGTACATGTATGCTTGGACAAGAGTGGTCTATAAATATATTACACAAGTGCCCGAATTTCCAGCCACAGAGGGTGCACATTTGAGTATTAATGACTGCAAAATCCTGAAGACTTTCATGGAGAAAAGGGTAAAAATGCATGACGTTGGTAAAGAATTGTTATGGTACACTGCAAAAACTGTAGTGTTAATTTAACACCATTAACACCCGATGGTCCTCAGATACCAACGGTGTAAATTTAACACTGCAGTTTTTGCAGTGTATAAGCAGGGCATCACTGGTATACTTTAAAAGGGCAAAAGTAAAATTGCAAAGGACTCCAGTGAGTTCAATTTTAGTTTGAATACCATTTTTTCCCAAAGTTATTCGTTGAACATTACGAGTTATGACCCAGAACAAGGGCTTATATTAAAATTGCGAAGGATCAGCGAAAAACCATGAAAGCACATGCAGTCTGGCATGCACCCAGTGTGATTATACAATAAAGAGGTAATGGAAAGAGCTTATGCTTATAAAGTAACATCAAAAATATATGTTTGATATTAACTTGAATCCGGAACGTGGCATCTTTAAAACTTTCAAACTTTTTTTTAAGAATCGTGAGGTTGCTTTTATTACCTCTTTTGATTTTTTTTTTTAGTAACGGCCCTCAGTATGGGAATTGATTTTAGGTGGACCTATGTGAACTTCAGTTTGGCCGATTTGAATTTTTTTTGCCCTGGAGATTGGGTGAATCTAATATTATCTGTCTATTTTTACTCTCAATCATTTTCGTGCTTGACTTTAGGTTTATTGCATCATTTGAGTTCAAGATTTTAAGCACGTGTTAAGTCTGCAGCACAATAAGGCCAAAAAAAAGTCTCCGGTTTCTGGTATGCGCGCGCGTCGCCGTAGCCATGCGCGTCGGCAAAATGAAAAAGTTTTTTTTTCAATACAAGATGATGTCTCAAAACCGCCAAACTCACTGGTTTGACTGGAATCCTACTGCTGCACAATTTTAACGTGTTTTTAGATGACGGTTATGATCGAGAATAAGCTTTATGTGGCCTCTCTGGACTCCCATTTGCACTAAGTTTAGTCGGGCACCATGTGCAGTCACCAGAAACCGGAGACTTTTTTATTTTGGCCTAAGGTCCATTTTTTTTATAATGAGAAAAATGACCGGCAACCCTCACACATGGTTGGCTACGGTCTACTTACTGACTGACTGACCGACTCCCTGACGTCTCCATGTGCAAATAATGTCCGAAATGAGACTTCTAGGTCCAATTAGCTTGACTTTAGCAAAGCCCGGTCTTTTTTTTAAACAGAAGGTTTTTTTCTTCGTACAGCTTCCAGAAGAACCAGAGACCTTTGACAATGCTACGATGGATCTAAGCCCCGATGGAATGCCCGTTTTTGAAGTAAGTTCATATTTGTATTTTATTGTCATTTGTGCACCTTGCTTGAAATGGATAGACTTTAGAACCTAATCGCTGAGTGACTTAACGGTACATGTAAAATATAGCATAATACTCTACGCATGCGCGACATATCCGCCCAGGCACCGTCAATGTTATCTCACGATTGCTTCCTTTACCACCGGAAATGGCATGCTTGTTCTAATGTTTTGCTTTCGTTGTCCTTGATGTTTTGTTTTTTTAAGATTTCCTGAAAGTTTACAGTGTACATGTACTTCTCCATTTGGTTTTTCCGATTTCCCGAGAAGATAAAATAACCAGAGCCTGAAAATTGGTACTGCATATAAAATATATAATGATTGTTTGTGTTGTAGCTGAGGTCATCCCTTGTTGAAAATGTTGACAATGATACCAGTCAGAAACAGTGGGTTTGTGGATTTAATAAAAGGGAACATAAAGAAAAAGTCGTCCTTGCAAATATTCATCAACCTTGCTAAAATGCACATTGACACGGCTTACGTAACACATCTTCCGTATCCTTTTTCCTCCTTTTCATAAGGTTATCTTCATGGAGCCTACCTATGAAGGTAAGAACACATAAGACGGAAGTGTGATTGGCTCTTCGTGTACATGTAAATATCTAAGAAAAAAAAATTGAAAAAAAGAAGACTTTTTAAAATTTGGGGAGGAAACTGGAGTGTAGTTAAACGCTCTGAATCAACAGTGAAAAAAAAACACTCTGAGTTATTCCCCGTGGCTCTTTAAAAACAGTGGAAGTTAATTCACTCTTTTAGAGTGGTTTCCCACATTATAGGCCATAGTGAAAAACCACTCAAAAAGATGCAAACTTCACTCTGAAAGAGTGAGAAAAAAAAACCGCTCGAAAATAGTTGTCCCCCATATTGCTCTTAAACAGACTTTTGTTCAATCTTTCAAATTTAGAGAAAAACTTGTTGGTATGATGACTTGACTAATTAATCATTTTGATTAATTTTTTTGTGTGTGTGCAAAAAACGTCGAAACGATTGAACAATTTGACTCGCAGTACTTAAAATTATTTGTTTGGTTAATCATGGCTCCTTTATTTAAACGAGTATTTAAAGAAAAAAACCTAGTCCCCTTTTATGAAAAAAAACCCATTCACATACATAAGATCAAAGTAAAGTTGAGCAACTTCCGGAGTTTGGGTTTAACTAAGAAGAAGGGAAACCCACACCAAGACTTTGTTGAATTCAGTTTTGGAATATACTTGTGGTCCGAAGAGCAAATATTTAATAAAACAACCAGTATAGCGCAGCCAAGATGATCACTTGTCGTTTTCCCTTTCGTTGACCAGATATGGAAAAGTTTGGAAAGGAAGATGAGGTGGAAAGCATGGAGTCGATTTTGGATCTGAATGCACAGATTACGTCAGGTAAATATTTCCTTAACAATTACGATTGTCTTGACTTGGAATCGCTTAGCTCGTGAAATCATTGGCTCCTTTTAGTAGAACATAGTATTTAGATAAATCAGTGATAACTTTTTACAAAGAAAATATTGACAGGGTGGTGTGCAAGACTTATGTATTCCAAAAACAAGAGAACAATTTCCAGTGTACAGCTGGTGTAATTACTGTCATTATTTACAATGGAGACTTAACAGGCGAAACATAAATTTGTCTCATTATTTAATATCTGACACTCGCTTTTGAAAATGTCCAAAAATTAACGGAATCATTTTAGAAGTAGTGGCGCCCTCAGGATCCATACACTTTTAGTTTGGTAATTACATGTACTAACAAACCTGTTATCATGTTTGGCTTTACAGGTGTGCAGAACGTCATCATGGAAGGAGACGTTGTCGTGGGATTTAACGTCAATGAATATAACACGACGGTAAGCGGATCGCAGTTTTCGACAGAATAATATGCGCTTCAGTTGTTCAAAATTTGAGACCTTTTCAACAAAACGCGCTAATATGTTCTCAGAATAATAATGCTTTCTTGGCGCTCATAGACGCAGCATTAGTGTATCATTACATTCAATGCCCTTTTTCAGAGTGTTTCACACACAACAAGCACAGGAGGTTTTCAGGAGCGCATGAGAAATTGAAAACAAAAGAGAAAATAATTATCATCTTTGTAGATTTGAATGTCTAAGCTCAGACCGAATAGAAACCTTTTCATGGCAGGAGCAGCATTTAAATTCGTCTTGAATATTTAAATAACAATATTTATTACCGAATCATCTTCTAATAGTTAATTCATAATTCTAATAACTATTCATAATTTTATTTCGTTATTCTGTTCTTTCCATCAACAGCGCCCTCTCGAAAACGCCGCTCGAAACCGAAACAGACGCTGGCCAAACGGTGTGGTGCCTTATTTCATCGACAATTCCTTCGGTAAGGCTTAGCCTAAAAAAAAATACTTACCCTCCCTTTTCGAAGACAAACAGAGAAACTCGTTCCCAATGTGATGACTTTAGTTTGCTAAGCTCAAACGTAAGAATCTGTTCAAATGACAGAAGATATCTGAAGTAGTTTCGTTTTTAACACTGCAGAAACACATGACTATTTGGAAATGATGAGTATAGTGAAAAGAAGCCAAATTACAAACGCACACTTTCACTTTTAGATTAATTTTATTGAGATGTTTTTATAGTGGTTTCTTGTTAACTCTCTCAAACAGATAGCGGCGCTAGAGGGCGCATCTTGGGCGCCGTTCAGAGATACCACCAGACCACGTGCCTGCGATGGGTGCCACGGACCAATCAGCGAGACTACGTGCATATTGTGCCAAGACAGGGGTAAGCTAACATTATGGGATCTGAGTCAATTTGGTATACCTTGGTTATTATCAAGGCCACGTTAAAGCCCAGGAGTTTTAACTCCAGTTTGCATATAATACAGTAAAGAGTGTCGAACTTTGACACTGTGCCAGTGTATAGCTGTCATGGCACACATTCGAACTCTTCAGCACTTAGGGAGTTGGGGGTTGCACCCCCACCCCCCGTTTAGCCGCTGACTAGCTTGTCATGATATGGGGCCAAAATAATAACTTGAATGCTGAAGTTCCTATATGTATTCTCAAATTGCATTAGAATGCAGGAGAACTTCGTAGATGTAAACATCTTCGGGAGAGGGGGGGGGGGGCTTCCCCGGCTCCCTGGCAGGGCGTGCCTTCAAATCACCCGGCTCCTTTATACTAACCCCCAACGTTTCTTGAGAGCTATAATCCACTTCTTAACTGTCAAACTGTCAGGCCAACTTACAACTATTAATTACTAGGGAGCAGCAAAGTCAGCACCGATTTGACAATGAGGTAGATTTACAGTCGGGACTCCAGATATAAGTCTAGTTTCATGTGGCAAGCTATATTAAAACGAACTGTGGCGAAAGCTTTCTTTTGTTATAATCATTCCCTATTTGGCCGATGATTGACTTGTGAATGACTTTAATTGGTAGAAACTGTGGAATGTGATTAGATTCAATGACACTGATTCTGCTCGTGCTCTTACCCCCCCCCCTCAGGTGTTTCTCGGCCGTGGGTCGGACGGGCGGGCGCCAGGAGCTGTCAGTAGGAGGCACCTGCAATTTCGCCCGAGGGATTATCATGCACGAGATGATGCACGCTGTGGGCTTCCAACACGAGCAGACGCGAACGGACCGGGACCAGTTTGTCACCATCTTTTTCCAGAACATACAACGGGGTAAGAAGAGCATTAACCGTCCGATGGCCCGTGAAATTTAACGTCATCTTGAAGGCAACTAAAGATGGAGAGTCATGGCCTGGCGATTAAGAGCACCGCACCGGACTCATGCTCTGGTGTTTCAGAGGCAGCAGAGTGTGGGTTCGAGCCCGGGTCTGGACCCTTAAGCGAGGCACTTAGCACATTGCTGCGTCCTTCGGATGGGGCGTAAAGCGGCCGTAGGTCCTGTGTGTTGTGTAATGCAATGCACGTAAAAGAACCCAGTAACACTTATCGCTAAGAGCCTAAAGGGGTTTGCCCCAGTGTTTCTGGCCTCCTGTTAAAACTCCCTGCGGAGAACCAACCAAGTACAAAGTAAAGATGTACATTATCGAAGGCATGATTTTCCTCCAATTACCACTGCATTATTCTTCCTCCTTCTCAGGGCTGGAATATAACTTCCAGCGCTACAGCTCCGCTGTCATTGACAACCTCCAGACCAGGTACGACTACGCCTCCATCATGCATTACCCACGCAACGCTTTCAGCGCCAACGGCCGCGATACCATCGTACCGCGCCAGGCTGGCGTGTCCATCGGGAACAGGAACGACTTCAGCACCACGGATAGAGTCAAGCTCAACCGCTACTACGAATGCGGTAAGTCATATAAAAATGTGGACTCCTACGAAATATGTTGGTTGTATTTTTTACATTATAGGATCTGTCACTGGCCTATTACGTTCACTGAGACGTGCGAAACACAACCATGAGTCCATGTTTTCACAGAGTCAAAATTTTACAACATAGCGACAGCCAGTGTCTAAGTTTAATGTCAAAAAAATGTTAACTCGGGTTAATACCCAGCAACAACATTGTCCAATGAGAGCCTCAAAAAGTTGACCTCAAAAACAAGATTGGCCAATGAGAGCTCAAAGAAATCAGAGGTCACCACCGCCCTTGGATACGGATATGGCGGTGGGTACCAGTGAAGCACCGTGGATGCTGGAATATAATAATTGAAAAACTATCGGTATTGGCAAGGGATTTAGTTATCATTTTGTGCCCAAGCTTGAGTCCCGGTTTTGTTTTGTTTTTCTTGTGCAGATGGTACAACGACTGGAACTGGAACCGGAACCGGCGGTGGTAAATATTCAGATTTAGCTTCATTTTTTTATATCTTCAATTTAAACAGATTTCCATTTTTTTATTGGCCAAATGTCCGTCTGTCCTTAAGTTATCCAGGCAAGCTAAAGCCTATGTTTGACCCCGTGCCGTCTCGAATCAAATCTGTATTCTATAAACCTGGAAGAGGTTCATCTCGTGTTGTGGAATTCTTGCAGATTGCACTGATAACAACGTCAACTGCCAGTACTGGGCCAGCGTCGGCGAGTGCCAGAGAAACCCCAACTACATGACCGTCAACTGCCGCCGTAGCTGTCGACTCTGTGGCGCCGGTTCACCCATCACCACACCAGGTAAGCTTGCCGGTAGCACTCGGTAACAATCTGGTCTTGCTGGTGAAGTATGCTTCCTAACCGGCAACGGGATGGACGAAGAGGATATGATGAAACGGGGAATTGTTTGTCGAGCTACACCAAATGTCTCAATTGAGGGCGTTATCAGCGACTCAGTCAGTCGGTCGGTCGGTCATTCAGTCGGTGACTCAGTCAGTACTTCGGTTCCAGTGAAAACGACAACAGATACTGCTGCTTTTTAACCATGTTGCTACCAGTTCTGGGCCCTGAAAACACAAAGTGAGTAATTAGACTCATTATCGTAAACAATGAGTCATTTTGTCCGTATAGTGACACACTTTGGCTCAAAGTGTCTCACTACACAGACAAAATGACTCAATTATTACGATATTGAGTCAAATTACTCACTTTGTGTTTTCTGCATGCTTTTACATGTACTAACCCCAAATCCATACATTTCTGAAAATTACAGCAAGAGCAAAAATGTTGTGCAAGACTTGTATATTACCTTTAACTTTGATGTAATAACATGTCAAAGCATGACTTTCAAACTCAAAGTTGATTTTTATTGATGCAGGTATAGCCTATGCATTTGTCAATCAAGTACTAGAACTTTTATAAAATCAGTTTCCAATCTGAGGCGCTAATATTTCGTTCGACCCTTGAGTGAATGACCGAAAGCACCTTGCACAATGACCACTACTTGCAGTTGGTACACCATGAGATAGTGATAAGGCTATAGGTAAACGGAAATGCAAGACCTTGTAAGGATGCAAGAGGAAATTGCATGCAAGAGCTGGTTTTGCCTCGTGAAATTCTGGGTCAGGATTATCGCTGTGTTTGACCTTATCAAGGCAACGTTCCGCCATTGATTTAACTAATTTGAGTCAAATTTAAAACAAAGTTTTTTTGTGGGCAATCTCCTAATAAAACAACCTTCAATTATTGTATTCATCCGATTTATATCATTCAAGCGGAATTATTTTACAGGGTATTTACGACGAATCCTTTCTTAACATTGTGCAAGGTTTTTCTCATTGAAGAAGTGTTGGTTTCCTGGTAATTACCGTTGGCCCTAAGTGCCTTTAATTTGTCATCCGTACAGAAACTTACAACAAATGTATAAAATTGTCATTGAAATTTTAACAGAGACAATTTGTTTAATCCTGTCCTTATTTCCAGCCTCCGTTTGCATGGATATGAACGAGCGCTGCGGAGAGTGGGCCGACCGAGGCGAGTGTCGAAACAACCCAGATTGGATGTTGCCCAACTGCGAACGGAGCTGTAACGTATGCACACAAAGCTCTGACGGTGAGTCCAAACCATCTAGTGGTCTCAGTAATATTGTTGTCAGGGAAATCTCCAAGATCGTGAGCTTACCTTCGGATTCGGTGGTTTGAGTTGGGGACGGGGACGGGTTGGAGTTGGCCAGCATGCAACACTAGGTGACGTTGTTTACGACAGCAATTTGCATGGTGCATTATTTCCCATGACATCCAATCCCGATCGTTTTTAATTTGCACCCCGAAATTTACGCCCATGCATGCTTACAAATGTAATGCAGTGGTTCTAGTGAATTTCTTCGACAGCAAATTAGGAATTCCCCTTTTCTGTTTTTCTCTGAACAATTATTTAATAAAGATAAGGAAATATAAAAATAAGGAAAGTCGAGATAATTTTCCAGAAGATTATCGAAAACTTATTGAATATCAATTCGATGCCCTCAATTACGACCAGTGGCTCTGAGGAGTCTCATCGGGAAAAAAATTATGCAATCGTCGCAATTCAATTCAATTCAATTTGACATTTATTTCCACATTGAAGAAAATCAAACGAAAGTAAAAAATTACAGAACAAGTATTTTAATCAAAGATAATCAAGAACTAATTGCAAACAAAACAAATTAATGACATGAATTAGGAGTACACCAATATGGGAGCATTTTCAGAAGCAAAAGCCTCCTTTTCCGTATAATGAGTTGAGTGATTTCCCCTTCCATCCCCTTCAATGCAGAAAGCTGCGTGGATCTGAACGAGAACTGCGACATGATGGCCGTCAACGGCGAGTGCGACATCAACGGCGAGTACATGAACGAGTACTGCCGCATGAGCTGCGGCGTCTGCGACGTGACCGGGGAGGGATCCACGGACGACGGGGCTGGTGGCCGTGGCGGCGTGGACACGGTCAAACTGCAACTCACTTGCCTGGTGCTTGAGGCTGCCATGGTTTATGTGGCTTTCCTTAGGCATTGACGATCTCGTTTTATTTGATTTATATATTGCACTTATTTGTTGCTTGTATTATAATCGTCGAAGTAGATGTTGGGTCAGATTTTAATACCGTTTTTGGTCGAACAGAGCAGTACTTATTTTTAGGTTTTGGTCAAGCCTCGTGGCGCTGATCCAGAACATTGTTTTGTAAAGAAAAAAATATGTTAATTTTGCTAAGGCCTTAACCACCGCCAACTTGTATTTTAGGGACCCATTTAAATTAGAGTGAATCAACAAGAGAATTGGACTTCAAATCTAACTATTCGAAGTTATTCAGAGAAGTATGTTTGGATTAGCCTAATAAATTGTTTGATATGACAGACAATTAAGCAGTGCCAAGAAAATTTATATTGAACAAAACTAGTGAACTGTCAAAGACGAAAAGTAAAATTTGTTCAGTGTGTCATCTAAGTGTCCTTAACAGTGGTCAACTCCGCAGTTAATATTTAGATCTAAATATAATTGGATATAAAATGAACACATCATGACAACATGCAGTCATTGGAGGGACACGTGGACAAAGTGTCACACCCACATCTCCATGGCCGTTCTGCCATTGCATGATTAAAATACCGCCCTCTCGTGAAAACTGTCGCGGAATATGAATGCAAATTTAATACGAGTTGAACTGCTTCGCATCCAAGACCCTTTATAAAGGTACTTATTATTGTCATTAATAAACCCTTGCATACAAATTTTCTATGATTTGTACTTTTTGTAGATGCCAAATATTATTTTAAAACAATAAAGCATGGTGATTTGATCAACCAAAGTGGATGTTGTCATTCTCTATGATTCGTGGTGTCTTTCCCAAAGTTGGACTTTAATATCCGTACTTTAAGGCTGGCGAGGCCGTAAACTCTTCCTATTTACCAACATTGTTACTTAATTTCCACAGAAATGAAATGAAATGTTTTAAAGTAGAGGGAGCTGCCTGCACAGACTGCACTTGATGCATTCTTTTAGCAAGCCTATAGGTAATGAGTCTGAGCATAAGCCGAATTCTGCAAACAAGCGTCGAGTACGGTGAAACTTTATCAATAAATCCGTCTACGGACAGCAGGTGGCGCTATACTACTCAAGAGAGTGGCGCGAAGTAAGATACGACTGATGTGCACAACTGAAATACACTCATTAACTCATTGGTCGTATTTCGTAGTTCATAATACATGTACTTGGCTACTGCCGGAAATTACACTTGCGTAGCCTGTGGAAATGGTCGAATTGACTTACCAGTCAAGGGAAGCGAGTATGGCGCTAGAACTGCCGTCCGTGCCGTGTAACTGCCGTCCAGTTATAGCCAAGTACATGAACTCGGACGCAGTCATAGTTAATGTTGAACACTGAAAAGTTCACACCAAAACAAAACAGCGTCATCCTTTTATAATATGTAATACCCGAAACCAGGCTTGTGATATTATTATTGACCCATCGCCGTTTGCAAGTTAGCCCCGCCCCTTAGCCCAACCTATGGAATTGTGTACGTTCACTTTTGTTTGTCTCAGATTTTGCGCGTTTCGCGTTCGTTTTGTACATCATGTTATTGGACAATATTGCACAAGCTGCGTTGACGCGATAAGGTTAATTATGAGTAAATTGAGTACACTGTGCACATTTTGGAAACAGAGGGCGTTTTATTTCCCCTTTCGGTAGTTTCTTTGCTATCAAAGTTGCTGCTATTTGATTTCGATATTGACAATTTGATCGTCCTTTTCACCCATTGATTATCTTGTTTAACGCCAGTCTCATCACTTGACTCATCCCTCCTCCAACGCCGTGACGTCTTCATCGTACTCCCAAGTCTTGACTTGACATCATCATTGCCTTAAATCTCAGTCTGCGTGCGCGTAAAATGGTTGGGACCAGTGCAGAGCAAACATAATTGTACCGTTCCCTCCCCCACTGGCCCCCGTCACGCCACTTCCAAGTGATTGATGCCCCACGAGTCAACACCGGGCCAGAAAGGCACCTATTATAAGCCAACCAGAATAAAACACCCAATCGTCCCCTTGAGTCGATTCTATTATCGCGACGGTGTGTGGGCCCTTTTACTTGTGTCAACTTTGCGTCGGCCGGCATGCACTAGGCTTATAAATTTGACAGCCCGACCGAGGGTGGTGACTTTGCGTTGTTCAGACAGCCGGAGACGAACGAAGAGTGTCCCGCCCTCAGACCCGTCCGATTCTGAGCATTGTCATCACCCGCAAAGTCCTAACTGCGGTCGAGCCGTCGAATGCTGAAGACTTCAACTGAGTATTTTACTTTTCTATTTGACACTTTGCTCGCAAAATGATTTGATTTTTGAGCTCAGAAAAGTCTTCAAGTTGGGAGCAACTGCGGCAGCATGTACCGGCGTCTTTATCATCACCACAGAAGCTGCAATCCTTCATCACCTTAGGGAACATCATATCGAAATGGACGTCGAGGATCTTCACCGCCATCTGTCCTCACCCAGCAGCCCGGCTGAAACTTGGACCAGTTCGGTCTCAGACTTGCCCCTGTCCCCTACCGTCTTGGAGTATGAATCTTCTCGGCTTGAGGAGGAAACTGGCGGACTGCAGGAGGAGGAAGACGGACCGACCATCAAAGATTGTGAGACAAAGTCGGGCAAGGGAAAGCCCACCTACCACCGCCACCCCAAGCCGCCATATTCCTACATCGCCTTGATCGCTATGGCTATCCGAGACTCGCCCTCAGGCCGACTCACCTTAGCCGAGATCAACGAATACCTGATGAAGAGATTCGCCTTCTTCAGAGGTCCCTACACCGGCTGGAGAAACTCGGTCCGCCACAACCTGTCACTCAACGAGTGTTTCGTCAAGATTCTACGGGACCCAGCCCGTCCCTGGGGCAAGGACAATTACTGGACCATCAACGAGGACAGCGAGTACACCTTTGCAGACGGAGTGTTCCGTAGGCGCCGTAAGCGCCTCTCCCGAAGCAACGAGCGGGAGAACGAGGAGAGGCGGCAGAAGAGCCGTGGACAGTCCGGGGCCACTGCCGACAAACCACGGTCCAAATTCACCGGTCCGTTTAGCATCGACAGTATATTAGGTTTTACAAAATGCAGCAGAGGCCCAACTGATCAGAGGAACAATGATCAAGGCAACCAAGGTGTTGCTTCGTTCAATCTCTGCACTCCGTCAAACCAGCCATCCCCGAGCCGGCTCAGCTCGCCTAAATGTCCTCCGAGCAACGCACCGACGAACCCAAAGAGTGCCTACATGGTCTACCCGAGTCCCCGAGGTGTTCCCATTGCCTGGGTGCCCCAGACTCCCAAGTATTGCCCCTTCCCATTACTCGGTGATGTGCCGTTCCCGCACCCTACCCTGCCTATCAAGATGGCCGAAATCTTTCACCATCATCACCAGGCACGCGCTAAGAAGCGAGGACGCAGTAATCACCAGGCCATTGCCAACGACGAAGCCAGCGCATCGCATGATCCAACACATACCGATATGATCTGGCCGATGGGACGTCTGACTGCGGACCCATTCCCCTATCAAACAATACATCTCTCCGTTGCCAAGTGCAGGCAGAATCAACAGAGGGCGCCAGACTTTCATATTGACAACCTTCTGTCTTGAACTTGACCTTGTAACGTTGGCTCCATAGGCCCCGAGGTGCAATATTAAAATTGGATGCTCTGAAAGTATAGAAACCACTCTAAGTGGTTCAGAATAGTCAGTAAAATGTCAACACAATTTATAGAAAAGTGTGCCGATAAAGTGTTTCGTTTGCGTATTTCGTGACGTAGATATCAGGTCTAATAGTTTTTACAAAGACATGAGGCAAACCTTGAAATAAACTTTTGTGTTGTGAGCCTTGTTTTTTGAGAATGCAAAGGTACATGAAAATGATAGGAATTGTTATAGTAAACACGGATTGCTATAGTGCCGAATTGATTACAGTGTGCAATCAATCAAGTTGTAAAAAAACCACATAAATTAAACAGATAGAATAGAGATTTCCTTGGTAATTGTTACAATGAGCATGTTTTGTGTTGCATAGGCAATACTGCTCGTTTGTTTCAAAGTGTTGATAAGTAAGACGTGGTCAGAAAAAAAGGATTGATAAGAACAATCGGAAAGGGACTCTGTGTAACTCACTTGTTGAGAAGGAAATTTTGACCAAAGGGCAGGAAGCTCTGTTTTTTGTGTATTTTGTTTTGTTTTGCATAATTAAATCTGCAGAGAAGAGTATGAGCGACAACGACTGTTTATAAATCAATATTTTAGTCTACCAGGATGTCCAATTAATTAACCTCCACAGGCAATCAATCGTGGCCTATCGACAAAAAAATATTCCCTTCTTGCCGCTTCCATCCCCAATATCTTGTTCCGGATACGCCCGCGCTCTGAGGTCTAATGTTTGCCGCGAATTGTCAAGACCGTAATTGTCTCTATATATACATCCCTTTTGTAATCTGTAATATAGGCATCTTATCCTCTGATCAGATAGTCCTTAAAATCACATTCAATTCCTATACCAACCCCTTTCATCTTCATAAAAATTTGGCGGAATTCAAAACCCTGCTACAGTGAAATCTAATCTGTTCACCGCATAGAGTTTATTTTTGAGCTAGATAGAATTTACGAAGTGACAAATATTTCAGAATTAAAACAGGCTACAAAAGCACTCTTAAGGCCAAAAAAAAAAAGTCTCCGGTTTCTGGTATGCGCACGCGTCGCCGTAGCCATGCGCGTCGGCAAAATGAAAAAGTTTTTTTTTCAATACAAGATGATGTTTCAAAACCGCCAAACTCACTGGTTTGACTGGAATTCTGCTGCTGCACAATTTTAACGTGTTTTTAGATGGGGTTATGATCGAGAATAAGATTTATGTGGCCTCTCTGGACTCCCATATATTTGCACTAAGTTAAGTCGGGCACCATTTGCAGTCATCAGCCGACATTTGAAGCCAAAAAAAAAAAAAACAGGTAAAAAAAAAAAAAAGCCGCGTCGCCGCACCACTTTTGGGGCAAGCTCCATACCAGAAACCGGAGACTTTTTTTGGTCTAAGCGCTCTCTGTTTCTGTCTCGGCGTTTGAGAGTAGTTGCCTATTTCACGGCGGTAAAACTTTATTTGTCAACCCAGCGAAATTCGACCTAATGACATGGAACTAATCACATCGAACAAAAGTAAACATTAATGGAGCTTTTTAAAGAATTTGAAAAATGAGTAAATTACGTGTAACTTACGTGTAATCACATTTGAAAATATCACCAGCGTGCAAAATGTTCCATATTTGTTAGGTCAAGCCAACAAAGCAAAACCAGAACTTCGTTTTCCGAAAAGAAAACATTGGTGTTATTGACAAAATTACATCGAGCAAAGATGGGACTAGTCATTAATATTAAAAGTTTTCCGTCCGACTCAATGTTTTTGAGAACAAAACTTGAAATGGATATCACGAGGAAGCGACGGTACAACATGGCGGAGGGGGACTTCATTTGACGTAAAGGGATACTCTTTTACCCCCTTTTCGTATATATCTCTTTTTATATTTCACAAATGGTTTTATTTCTAAAAGAAAAAAAAAACACCTCAAAAAACCCCTCATGGCCCCCGTTGCTACCCCTCCCCAGATCCGTCTTTGCTCCCTGAGCTTACTAAACCAACTGTTGACAAGGCAGCATTATTTGCCTTGCTACCCCGTACCGGGGTGACGGTTTCTCCACTCCGGCATCTCGTGTGATTTACTTTACGTAACGGACTCAGACCACAGCCTTGCCTAGTACAGTAGCAACCGCCTACCGTTTGCTGCCTGATATCATCGGTAACCTAGCACGCGGAACCCGCTATACCAACGTGCCTGATGTCGACAGGGGCTAATGAGAACATTCAATTTGGTAACGGTTATAGACGACTGATCTTTCAAGTTAGAAATAAGGTCTGAAATAAAATCATCACCCTATCCATGATGATTGGCCTTGTTTGGCCCAAATGTGTACCGAGCCTACCCAATAAAACAAGTGCGAGTGCACAACATGTTTTGGACGTGTTGCAAGAAGTTTGGCATGAAAGTCTTGCATGAAATCGATCAAAATGATCCCTGCCAGAGCTTAAAAATGCGACGTTGAAAAATTCGACGCCGATGGCACATATGGAACACCATACTTTTGGTCAATTTTCGGGGACAGACAGACAGACAGACAGACCGTGAGACCGATCGACCACCAAGTGGCATGTAGAAGCTCCTGCCAGAGCTTAAAATTCAAAAGCTACTAGCAGCTATACATGTGCCTGCAGATCATCAAGATTTGAAAAGTTCGCGCAGAGAATGCGTCGTGGCGACAAATGCATTGTAAAGTAAAATTCAATCAACTTGACTAAAAACAGAGTGTCTACAAAGAAGATGAAACATATCCTCTACAATATGGTTTCATCATTACGACTCGTCGTGGCCGCAACGGCTGCAGAAGCAAAGCTCAAAACTTTTTCATTCACCGAATTCTTAAAAATAAAATGTCCAACCGTCGACCCATTTTTACCTGTTCAGCGATTTCGACTGGAATGAAATCCAATTAATAAAATTATTGATTTGATTTCCCCTACCCGTTTCAGACATTCCTTTGAGGTCCGCATCCCCACTAAAAAAAAATGGGCGGCAAAGTAAATTGTCCATATCTGAACTCGATTTTGCGTTACTGTCATGCTATGACTCCGCGCCAACTGTGTTATTGTACATTACACGTTATTATCCGGCTATGTTTACACAAGTCATTATAATGACTATTGCGTATTGTCACGAAGCGTCTGACATGCTGCTCTGTACAAGCATGCATGGGCATTGTCAACCTTGCACCCAGGTAACGCTGCTTTGCGGATCACCGACCCCTGCAACTGGGGAATCAATACTTGAAGTGTTTGCCAATTCAAAACTGATTTACGTTGATATACGGTGACTATGGTGAATGGGACGGAGGAACAAGAAACTTGGTGGGTACGGGTGGAGGGTAGTCTGAGTATCACCCGTTCTACGGAGCGAGCCGTCTATTACATAGACTAGGTGGAGGGCATCTCCCTCCAAAAATTCGACAGATAAAAAAAAAGAATAAGAATAATTATAAAACCAAAGAAGGAGTATTGTTGTGGTCTGTACTCATCCCCTTCCCTCCGCAGATTCGTGAAATACATGGTTCCACCACGCTGTTCAAATCTGCAGCGGCCGGGCGGTCGGTCGGTTGGTCAGCCTCTTCTTACCACAAATCCTAGGTGTGCCTCTGTCTTCTTGCGTTCCTCTCCCCGAAAAAAATGTTGGCTCAGGATCCGACAAATCTCATTTTTAAACTTAAGTACAGCGTTGATACGTCTCGTTTTTATTTCTTTGTGTAATGAAAATGATTAATACAATTCATAAGATGGAATTTGCGTCGGGGTGATGTAAATCAATATTGGTTTTGCCCTTCACCGACGTGTAAACTAGTATACTCAGTGTGTCACCTCCCGAGTGAAAGTTGGACAAAAAGTCACTCGGGTGGGACTCGAACCCACGACCTCCTGCTTTCTAATGCAGACGTCTTACGATTTACAAATTTATACATATAACGACAAGTAGTTTCCTCATGGTCATCTGCAGTGTGACATCAAATCAAATGGGCCTAAATGGCTCTAAACTTTATCGAATGAAATCTGTGCCAGGTGCAATCATAGAAATTAAACAGCTTTTCCTTTCATTTTTCGATTATAAAAAACTGGAAATTCAATCAACGACGCCTTACACATTGCGCCGCTATAACGGTCACCCGGACTACGCCACGTACATAGCTAGGAAATTATCAAGCTATCAAAGTACAATAGCGTTACACTTTTGACCAACAATCAAATTCTCAAGCAACACCATTTAGCCGGCTTATAAAATGGTCTCTTTTTTAATTAGGTTGGGCTAAAATGTGGGCAAGAGTCCGTGACGAGGTCTAGGGTGGATGGGATGCACACACCGCATCGCTGGCAAAGTGAGTGGGCGGTGAGTTAGACCTGCACGCCCCATCGCCTCGGGCGCGAAGCCACGGTCATTATGACTGTTGTCCGCGGAACGAGTGGCCCAGCTAACGCGGCCCGAGCATCGTGTTCTCAGGCCGGACACTGATGCGACCGGCCGTGGGCTGATGAGACGGTCTTCTCCCGGCCACGGCTGACTGCAAATCGGTTCTCTACGTCGATGGTCTCCCAGTCAGAAGTTCACGGCGATTGTCATTTTCAATCAATTATCTAATTCGGTTAACCTTGCCCATATTCAAAGTAACTTAAAAGTAGTTTTATGGGTAATTGTTAGTCAAGTAGGCCCTGAGGGATCTATATCAAACGTGACATATGGTTTCAGAAACTGAAAAGAATAAATTTTACACCGTAAAATGGCACACAGAACCAATTATCCTTCATGCGAATCACCTGCTATTGGCCATTAATTTCAAATAACAATGTACGAAAAATAGTCATTGATATAGTTGGAATAAAAGTACACAAATTACATCAAAGTCCAAGTAATGAGGGTTTTAATGGTCAACGTAAGAAGTGCAACCCTATATGCAAATTATTTGGGTGCTTGTCGCAGACTTTCGCCAATACATTTAACAAAATTTGTCAATTTGATCACGAAAAAACAAACGTGCCTTTTATCAACAATAATGTTGAAATGTACACTGCAATTAAAACAAATTGTAAGGAGTCAAAGACGCAACAATCCCCATATCACAGTGGTGTGAAATTTGTTGAATACATTGAACAAAGTTTGAGGCCCAACCACATAGACCATAGAGCTATAGGATTTAATGATGCTCAATGTGCGCAACCGATTGGAAATCATATAACGTGACTGTTTCATGTGCAGAAAGAAGATTGCATGCCTATGTTGTTTCAATGCGACAAGACGACGATGTGCTTGTTTGCTTAAATGGAACCGTCCTAACACGCAACAGCCGTTGATCCGAGATCGACAAAGTAGATAACCTGTTGTTATAAATACACTTGTAATATCAATCGCGTGTGTATGGCTTTTGACCGTGTTGACAGATATGATTTCCCCATAACGATCAAACTCCAGTTATTACCCGCCTTTATTAGTGAACTTGATTAATTGGATCAATACACACACATAAATGAGATAAATTACCCTTCTAATGATATCGGAACAT